ATGAGAAAAACACAATTAAACTACTTTTCATAAATCAAACCGATTTTAATTAGATCTGCTTTCTGCACAGGCTTGAAGTCTGGCCTCTTTAAATCATTTGCTCTCAGTCTGCGCTCCACTGGCGGCTCTTACAGTTTAGTGGCGCTCAGAGAAAATGTTGTTTTCAACCAGATGTTCATTAAGGAATCACAATCCTCACTGAAGTATCAATAAATGTAATATCACAAGTTTATTTGTAATATTTAGTGATCCAACGCAACTCAGCTTTACTTATACAGCACTTTAATAAAACCAGTAAAGAATCACAATGTTTTATAGTGAAAATAAATAAATCCAACAGTATTCAATAAAATTAGGACAAACTATTAAATTAATACTTTAAACAGTATAAAACGAACTGAGAACAACTAATGCAAAAGTGAGTTAACAGCAAACAGCCAGAGGAGATGCCAGTCTCATTTCCAAAGGCAGTTCAGCCCACAAAATGGAAAATTATAATAAATTATGCAACATGCAGTAAAAGTTGGGTCTTTAAAAATATTTCGTCACTTGGGTTGAATTTCACCGTCTTTAATGCTCACAATTAGTAAAGATCTGAACGTTTATGGAAGAGAGTTTAATCAAGCAAGACTTAATCATAATCAACATCTTTATCAATATTTACCGGTGGTATTGTAGTGTTATGTTTTCCTATTTCTGTACATCCACAGTAGGAACTGTTTGCAAAATAAATAGGAAGCAAACTAGTGGTTCTGTAAAACTAGACAGTGAAACCAATGAAAGTGAAATAAACAGATTACAGATCTCTATGATTTGGTCTATTTCTATTTAGAGCGGTTGGCCACGCCCACTTTTGTTTTAATTAAAAACATTTGATTTAACACTGGGGACAATTTTGTGCAAAGTTTGGTGAGATAACAGATAACTCTCCCAATTTGCATTTTCATGGAGGAGAGAAGAGTAATAGGAAATCCTCAATTACAGAAAACCTTCACTTTGCTGTCTCTGCTCAGGCTTAAGATGAGGAATGTTTACCTGACACTGCCATGTTTTTGTAGAAATATTCAATTCCCTTTAATGAAACAACAATACATATTTTTGAAATGCTCTGGTTCAAGCAACACACCAACCAACCACCACAGATGAAGGCTCTCAACAGGAACAAGGCAGACCCACCATGAAGCTGTTCGTTCAGAGCTGAGCTGCAGCAAACAGAAAACAGAAGCTAAATGTGCATAATGACAGTTTTATTGTTCGTAAGGCTGAATCAGGAGCTCTTTGTGTTACGTAGGAGCTCCTCCACAGTAATGTGAAAATGTTTAACATGCTTCAAGCTGTAAACTGTCAGCTCAGGAGGAAATTAACCTGCTGGTGTGGAATATTCAGACATGGACTCGCCTTCAACCTGAGCAGACCACAGCCCAACTCACAAATAGACCCGACTGTAAACTACCGCCAGCCATTCACATAGCAAGCTGAAAATATAGGCACAGCATGTGCTGCTAGCAGTGGGCATGCAGCAGAGTGGAAGGTCCACAGGAATGCAAAGCAAACCGTGTGTCGGCCTGCAAAAAGGGCTGTGGCAGAAGCTTTAATGACAACAAGTACAGTCAGAGTGAGTCAGCGGCCATGCTGGTCAGCAACCAGCCACGCTCTGCACGTCCTGCTGCTGATTACACTGGAGGGACCAGATTAAAGTGGCAGAGAAAAGGGGGAGATAACTAAATGTTGATGTAGCAACACAGAGAATCCATTGTGAGGCCCGGCAGAGTGAGATCTAACCAGCACAGACAGAACCGCCCCCCCACCGGCCAGCAGAATGGGAACCTTCATGAAAGGACAAAACAGAGAGCGGAGCTCTGTGGCGACTGTGTGGGCCGAGGAAAGCTGAGGAAGTCAACACAGTCGGAGGGTTTACATTGTTGCTTTTGTTCACAACCGCAGAGAATCAGGCAGCGGGTCCTGGAGGAAAACCGCTTCAGAGGTTCTGGTTTCTGTCTGAAAACAAAGTTTGTGGAATCCCATGATGCACTGGGGTCATTAAAGCAGCGCTCCATGAGGTGATGATGCTGAAAAACTCTGTCTTTTCTGCTAATTCATTACTGTAGCTATGGGTCACTGATTGCAGTGTTCTGCTCTTCAAACAGCCTGAGCTGCCGATTCACTTTCTGGACGATGCCAATTTTCTCTGTCTGAAAAGTCGCTGACTACTGTTTACTGAGCATGTGCAGAAGTGACCTGGTGGACGGGTCCACGGGTCTTAGTTCAACTTTGTGCTGATCACATAAAATGTAAATAAATTACTGGACTTAATAACATGAAATAGTTTATGGGTTATGCATACTTTTGCTAAATACTACCAGTAAAAGTCATCAGTGTTTTAGTGATTAATTTACTGCCTGAGTGACATGTTGATATTTTGTCTCATCGGTGGGTCATGAGGTTGGTGCTGCTGCACCATGTGAGAATGAATGCAGGGTCAGATGAGGATGACCTTTCACCCCTGACATGCAGCAGCTGGCCTTGATGCCCGCTGCACAGCACAGCTGGAGGATTCGGCCTGAAACGGAGCGGCTGCTTTCATACGGCCCCCTCTGACTGCAGGACATACGTTGTGTATTTTTGTCTGCAGTTTCAACAATGTGATGTACGATGAGTATGAAACGTGTTGAATTAAACAGATGTTGATTTTTAAAAGATAATTATTGAAAAGTCAAAAGCAAGTTCTAAATTTACTACATGGATCTGAAACAGGATAACAGACACTAACAGTATGTAGAGCTTTATTTATAACATTTAACATTTCACTTTTAGTCACTATCCTGCTACTTACTTTATATCAGAATTTTTCTGTCAATTAAATATTCAGATTACTGACGGCAATGAGAAATGTCCTGATTGGTTGGCGTATGAATTAATGATGCACCAATCAGTTTAGGGCTGAACTGATTAATCAAATTAATTGTGACAAATCGATTATTTAAATAATCATCAAACAATTTAGTAAACCGATTAATCAATGCCTGGAGTACGACTTAAAAAAATATAATTTGCTGAAAGAACAACACACTCAGAGCAGTATTTAAGCCAAAACTGCATGAAAAATAAATACAATTTAGCATTTAAGATAAAGAAAACTTTTGTTTGTAAGTATGTTCAAAACTGAACTGCTCATGTGGCAGCTTTAGTTTCACCTGGTTCAAACTCTAAAAAAATAAAAAATAAAATTTCCCATTAAGTTTTTTTTATCTGAATATGGTATTCTTTAAAAATAAGATCAAATCAGCAGGTCAGACCTGAAACAAAGCTGGAAACTAGTACTGGTCTGATTGGCAGCCGTAAGATAAATCAATGCATGACGGTTGCATGACGGTTGCATGACGGTTGCATGACGGATGCATGACGGATGCATGACGGTTGCATGATGGATGCATGACAGATGCATGACGGTTGCATGACGGATGCATGACAGATGCATGACGGATGCATGACGGTTGCATGACGGTTGCATGACGGTTGCATGACAGATGCATGACAGATGCATGACGGTTGCATGACGGTTGCATGACGGTTGCATGACGGTTGCATGACGGTTGCATGAGGCATGGGAGTGGCATACAAAGCAGCATCTTGCTCAGCTGTTGCATCTGCACAGACTCAGAATCTAAGCTTTTCATTCTCCTCATTCCTGTAAACCTTCACTGTGATCATAACTTTCATGTCAAACCCTCTGAAAATTAACTTTAGAGGAAAAGTGCTTAACTTTCTCCAACCAGGATTAAATTATTCCTCCTGCTGAAAAGCTTAACATCTGTAAACATGATGAAGTATTTCAGTGAACACTGTTAGGCCAGATTTTGGTCTCAATGCTCCCCAGCATGACAGCCTCATGACACAAAAAAATAGAGCATCAAAGCAATAATGTAGCTCTGACCAGCTGTGTTTTAGATTTCTACGGCTTTCTGCCCAGGGCGGCAGGATGGGAGAGGTGCCTAGTAGTAGCAAATATGAGTTATCTTTCAGTTATCCCCAACTTCTCAAGTTTTCTACAGATTATTTCCATGTCCAGTCAATAACAATATACTCTGTTATGTACTACCCAACAAAAACTAAATATTAATAATAAATTTATATTTTAGCATAACCCTTCTGGGTTAGGTTGGGTTCTCCAAGTTGGTTTGATCCAAAATCAGGGCACATAAGTCACTTCATCTCCATAAAGTAGCATTTATTCTTGGTGTCACGTTGAATTACAGTAAAGTCTGTCAAAAAAAACACATCAATGCAGATAATGTATGTTGCTTACAGACACTGCATGACCACCAACCACTTTTCTTGATAAAGTTTTGTTTAAAGAAGAAAGTAGGCGTCACAGGTGATCTGTTGAGGAGTGTAATAGTTGCTAGACCAACCAATGGAAATGGAAAGTAAATGAAATGTACATAATCTTGGCGCATAGAAACATCTTCTCAGAGTCAAATTAGCTGTTTTTAAACTAAATCTAGCTGTAATCTCAAATTAATCAGCATATAACCAAATGAAATCTGGATGTCTGGCCCAAACACCCGTGTGAGAGGCCATTATGCTCCATATTTTTCAAAATTAGCTTCCCTATTTTCAGACAGCTTTGAGTGTCTGTTTAATTGTGAGGGGGCTTCAGAGGGAGAGGTTCGCCCTGGGCGCCATTCATGCGAGAACCGCCACTGGCTATGACAACACTTCAGACAAGCATTAAAACTATAAAACTCTCATTACAACAAAACGGTATATTTCCGCATAAAGTCCACCTAAAATTCACTGCAGTTTCCGGTTACTACACAGAAGCCAGACATTGCTGTCTCATTTTATGACATTAACAAATGTTAGAAAGTGTTGAAACTCGCCAAACAAACCCTGAACAGTTTAAACCGGAAAAAACGCAGGACCTTCATGTCAACACGAAGCGCTAAAGGTTCGGCGGGACATCAGCGCCAGCAGCAGCTTCCAGATCTGTAACTTACCTGGTTCACGTCTTCTTGTTCTTCGGGGGCCGCGAACAGTCCAGCGGCAGGGGGAGAGGCGGCCAGCCGAGGCGGGGGAAATGAAATCACTTCCAGGGAACTTCAGCCCAGAACGGTCCTGTGGTTCGGAAAGCTCAGCGTTTCTTTCCTGCGTCTTTACTTGAACAAAGTGTCCGGGACGTCCTGCTTCCCGGCCGCCCCTGACTCACCGTGACCGTTATTCAGAGGTTTTTATTGAACAAAAAGGAAAGGAAGTTTGGGGAATGAGAGGAGGATCTTACTGACTCCTACAGGCGAGTCAGGATCCCAGAGTTTTACAGGCTGGGGGCTAAAACACTCGACATGCGAATATTTAGTTCCATCATCATTTAAATTATAAAAAAAAATAAAAAATCTGCATTCAAATCATTTAGTGAACAAATACGACAAGGTTTGTTTATGATTTTTCATTTTAGGAGTTTTGTCTGCAGATTCAGATTCCACGGAGGTTTTAGAAAAATATACAAGAATCTGTATTTTGATTTCGATTATGCTGTACGTAAAAAAGTGAAGGTATAAAAAGTTTCTGCGTCCATCCGCTTTTTCGATCTATCATATATGTCTTGTTTTATTTATTTATTTATGTATTTATTTATTTATTTATTTATTTATTTATTTATTTATTTATGTTTTATTTGCTTTATCAGTGTGTGTGTTTTTGACTTGTGAATGGAAAGATTACAAATGGCCGAAATAAATAAAATACCTGAAAAAAAAAGTTGAAAATTGTTGGGTGGAGTACCCAAATGTTGTCCTGAAGTAAGAGTAGCACTTCAATACATTTTTACCCAAAGAACAGTGAAAAATTATTTCACAGATAAAAAGGCTACTTGAGTAACTGATTAAATAACAGAACAAAGCTTGTGAACAAACAGGAGGTCTCACTTCAACATAAATTGTAAGTGTCTGGGGCATTTTTGGTTCAAACATAGTAGTTCTTTATTTACTGAAGTTACTCTCAGTACAGTATCCAGAAATTTTACTCAAATAAGAATGGCAATAACTCATAATAATATTATTAAAACAAAAGTAAAAGGTATATTGTAATAAAACTACTTCTAAAAGTACACCACCTCCAAAAGGTTACTCAAGTAAATGAGAGTTAATGTGTGGAAAGGCTAAATTGGGTACATTTTTAAAAACGTCTCCATGACAACACAGTAATATTCATATCACAGGTAGACCAGGTGTTTAAAGAAGCTGTCAGGCCTCAGTGTGTAAATCTAGCAGGTTTTGAACCAGAAATAAAACAAAAACAAACATCAAAGTCAACATATTTGCTCAGTGTCTTTGAATTTACTCTGACTTGATTTTAAAATATCAATGACGCAAATCAAGCGTTGATTTTTTTTTCATGCATTTACATCTTTAATTATCATCATCGACTGTGAAGTTTTCCATAGTGAGAAAGAAGCTCACCGTTCTCTATGGACAGGAAAACTTAAACTCACCTCACCTCGTGTGTCTCTGCTTGAATAAACCTGCTGTTGATTACACCACCATTATAAAAATACAAAAAAAGACACATTTAAAAGTTATTATCATTAAAACACACCTTTCAGGCCCTGTTGGGAGTCATAAGAAAGCAGATTTAGTATTTAAAAGTACACGTACAGAACATCAGAAATAAGTGAAAGAAAACATAAAATACGAAGACAAAGCTTAACACACAACAATCTGAAGGAAATAAATACTCAAAATAAAACATAATTAAATTATGTTGACTTTAGTCATTTCTTAAAATGTTGATGTTTTATTTTAGTGGTAGTAATATTTGAAACCTGTATGCTTTTTAAATCTGCCTGAGTTCTGGAGGCCTGCAGGATCCGGGACTCAAATCAGAAAACAAAGAGTCCACTTCTTTTTTAGAGGGATTGTTGAACTCAGAGAATCATCAGTCAGCCATGTCAGCTGATTTCTGTATGAAATATTGCAACAACTATTTCTTCAACACATAATGTGTCACAATTTGTGCACTTTTTAACCTTTCCTCTCAGCACTAATACATAGATCATGATAGAGGAGCACAGGTGGGCTTGTTGAATTAATGACTTAATGGGCTGCGTGTGGAAGAGAGCCAGGCCTCAACTAATTACAGTACAGTGATAATCAGTGAAGCCAGCCGTGCAGCTCACTGTGACCAAGGACAAAGACAGGAAGACGCAGCACAGTGTGCGCCTGCTGCAGCTGAGACGCTGCCTGTGCTGCTCACCTCATCACTGCTGTTGACTTTTTATGCTTCATTTCAGGCAACAGCAAGTCATTTATCATCTGTCACTAAAATTAAAAACAAAAATAATAGGACATGGAGCAGCGTGTGGCTCGGTCCAGTTTAAAAAACACCGGTTGTGTTCTCATCACTTCTCTGGTTGTGTGCAGACACAGTTGGGGAAAATGGCCGAACAGCAGGAACAACAGTTGTGAGAGATTATTACCATATGAAGCTCATCACCATGAAGGCAGATGTCGCTTGGAGTGAAATTTTTCCCTCGATTGTCTTGTAGTAGCAGGAATGCATGAGGTAGAAATCTAGGTAAGAAGTCTCGTATCTGATGCCTTTTCTTGTTTTACCCATTTATGTAAAATTATGGTTTAAATCTGGGAGAAACAGAAAATCAGAGACCAACCACATAATGATTAAAGTTTCTTATTTGCGTCAGAACTCAGCATGTGAATCCAGCCTGCTGCTGCTGCTCACTGTCTGCCAAAAGTCATTGTAAAAGTAATTTCATCACATTACTAATACACACTTTATTGTATTTTATTGGTATTTTATGTGGTAGAAAAACACAATGTAGCAAAGGAAGGAAAATGATTCAAGGTGTTCAAATCTTTTTACAACAGGAGCATCTAGTTTACATACTTCAGATCAACATTAGATTCTTTTTCTTCTTTTGCTCTTTCCTTTGTTTTGTGTTTGTATTTCCTATATACAAAATGTGCTATATAAATAAAATGACCTTTATCTTGACAATCAAATCTGAAAAGCGTGGAGTGTACGTGTTCAGCCTCTTGTTTATTTGAAGATAGCTTTTGCTTCAGTTGCAGCTGCAGAAGTTAATTTGTGATCATCAATCACAGGCTGATCATTTTCTCATTCTTCAAAAAGCCTCAGTTAAATGCGACAAAGAGTTCTGGATATCATTTACTAAAATCTACAGCAGATTTTCAGCTGGACTTTGATCAGTTTAGTAATCACTAGAGACAATGTGGTTTTGCAAAGAACAAATCATAAAAGTACAAATACAATTAAAAATATAAAAAATAACCACAACATGCACAATAAACCAAAACACAAATACTGATACTACATTCTTTATTTTGGTTTATCAAGACAACTTCTATATAAATCAGTCAATTACATTTTATTTGTATAGCACCTTTCAGCAACAAGACATTTCAAAGTGCTTTACATCATAACAGCACAAAAATACAAAGTCATAGAACATACAGACCACATTACATTTTGCACATCAGATAACTGATTAATGTTTCATGATTATGTTTCTAAAGCAGCTAAACAGCTGGTTTTTAGTCTAGATTTAAAGAAACTCAGTGTTTCTACTATTTTTCAGTTTTCTGGAAGTTTGTTCCAGATTTGTGGTACATAGAAGCTGAATGCTGCTTCTCCATGTTTGGTTCTGGATGCAGAGCAGAACCAGAACCAGAAGACCTGAGAGGTTCTGGTTTTAATGTGGTGCTGAACCGTTCAGCCATTTATAAACTAACAGTATTTTAAAGTCTGTTCTCTGAGCTAAAGACCTATGATAAAGACCATTCAATAAATTACAATATTATTGAAAATCCCATGTATTTTATTAACTTTCTCATTAAATGAGACACATTACATAAATCATTTACACATAAATGGATGCCTAAGCATCTATTTCTGATAATTATGATGATTTCTAATGAAAATGTGACATTTAAAATCATATTACATCAGACCAACAAAAAAAAGTATTTTTAAAACAGAAATGTGGGCTCAGTGAAAAGTATGGTTAATAAATACTTATTACTTTCAAAAGATACTTTTAATCTGACACATAATGTGACAGAAATCCTGATAAAATGCACTTTTGTGCATCTTTTTTTCTGTCTCTGCTGCTGCTGTTGCCTTGCAGCAAAAAGGATCCTGAGTGAGTCATTCTGCAATGAGTTTACATGTTCTTCCTGCATAGAAATGTGTGTTAGATTAACTGGTTTGTGTGTGTAGCCCTGTGGTGAGTCGCCAGCCACAGGGCTACACCTGATGACCAGGCGCTCAGGATGGGATGATCAGCTTTATGCATGTTGATTGTTTTTGCTCATCACTCTGATTTATGGACCGTCTCTGAAATCCTCTTACAACAGTAAATAAATGTTATTATTCCAGCATTTATTCTTTATTTTGTTGCTGCAGCTGCTGAGTCCTTCCACCAACCGGGGGCTTTCACACAGGTGGAAAACGTTTCTATCAGACAGAACAGGTGACCTGAAACAAACATGGGTCTGCACAGAAACCACAAGTCAGAAATTCATCTTGCTTCTGGTGACAGGATTCTGTTTCTAATAGCCTTTGCTTTTAGGAGGCTACAGGTTATGTAACCTTTGTTAACGTGGTGTGATGCCTGAGGGGTCAGGGGAGCTGATCCCTCTGATTAGTTTATCTGAAAAGTCAAATCAAGTGTTTCAGATTCAAGAATAAAACATTAAAATCCAAATGATCTGCTTTAAGTAAGCGACCCTAAACAAAGAGCTGGGTTCATTTCAGTAATAAGGCACTTTTCACATATTAAACTTTTCATTCTTGCCTGAAACAAAATCTGATTACCAACATGTTGAAGTAGTTATTCAGCTATTTTATTCATTACCTGTTCTGAAGAGAGAAAAAGGATCCTTCAGATAAATAACCTTTGGAGCAGTTCAGTGGAATAATGTACCTACATATTCCACATTTTTTAGCATATAATTTCCTAACTTCATTTACTGATTTTGGTGTGTTGGTGTCACATTTTTGTGCTTTCATTTGAGTCTCTACTGCTTCTAGAAACAAAGTGTTTAAAATAAAACATTCAGCTGTTTTCTGGCAGTAAGTTAATGATTTTTTACATTTCCAAGAAGTTTACCAGTGAAAGCAGATAACCTCCAAACAGCAGACTCTGCTCTGTAGGAGAGAAGCTGAAGAACTTTAAGTCATGCACTTTCCAGACTACTGTTATCAAAAATGACATTGTGGGCCTGGCGAAGGATCAAAGCCAGAGAGAAACTTTGTCATGAATTATTAATTCACCCTTGTGCTGCTGTTACT